TAAGAACTTTCATAAATGCACATAGTTTAAAAAACATAAAGTCTGTTACTTTTGATAAATTTTATTTTTTTGCATTATGATCTTTAATACCTTGGAAAATTACATTAGGAAATTGTATTTAAAAGAAATGATTACAATATTTATATTTGTTCCGGATTTGAACTTCTTACTTATGTTTTAGCACATTATTTTAAAATTCTCAAAACTTTTTACTGTCCATAAAATGAAAATTTTGTCTATTTTTAATATTTTAATAATCACATACTTTCCTTACAGTTTTAAGTAATATACAAGGCCAAAAATAATATTTCTAATCAACAAACAAGTATTTTTTATTTTTAACTATGATTTTACGTTCACATATGTACGTAAAAAAAATGTTAATTTTGTTGATAAGTGTATTTTTATTTCATTGCAGCCGTACTTTTGTTTATTGTGCTGAAAAAACCATGGGGTTAACAGCGTGAACTTCGTACATTTGCCGTAAATTATTACGTCTGTTGGGGGTCACTCTCATTCAGTCTAGTGCAGGCATATTTGAACATTACTGTAGATATGATAGTAAAAAAGCTTTTCGGTACTTGAATATTATTTCTTTGAACTTTCAAACAAGTTTATTTCAACACATGTCCTTGTATGTTGTTTCACTATAGAAACAAAACTAATTGCTTCTACTAGTGAATGTAGAGGTGGTTTGAATAACACCGCCTGACCCTAGTTACATGATACATCCTGTTATAAGAGATTACCAAATGACAGACACCACAAATTACAAAGAAAATCACTTTACAGCACTTAAAAGATTAGTCCTGGTCAAATTCCTTACATTATAGGCAAGGTTTATATTGGAATTGGAAACTTCAGCTCTTTTGTGTATTGACACCCCAAATGTGAGAATGTCCCAGCTTCCACTGTATTATTGAGATGAATGTGTTTAGTCTGTTTCAGAGCTTACATACGGGTTTTATTGTTATCCCTTGTACACTAAGTTTTAAACCCTTTGCAAAATATCAGAATAAGCTTTTTATATATCAGTTAGACTGTTTTAATTATAAAGCAATAACAAAAGAAGTGTGGGTCTTACTACAAAGTAAAGATAGAAAGAAGGAAAAATATAAAATTCTTACGTGGTACTAGTAGTTCATACAAATCACACAAGGGTTTCATTCTAAATACTGAATCATATTTTTATAATGAACTAAATATAAAATTATGCTAAATTAGTAAACTGAAACTGCTAATCTAAATGCAAAATAATATAAAAATCACAAGCTCTTTCAGTTCAAAGTGCTAAGCCTAATTCAGATAAAGACCATGCACTCGCCACTCGATAGATCTTAACCCTAACATTCATGGATAAGCTTCTTTCCTAAAAATATATCCATTTTGAGTTAATTTTTCAATATAATGATTAATATAAATAGATATATGACATAGCATGATTTAAGCTACTATACAAATCATAAAAGTCACATACATCCCATGCACTTTTTTCCAGAAGCAAATTTTTTAAGACTCATAAAAAAGTACTATTGACCACTACTAAATACAACCTCTACATAAAATGGCAGTTACTATAATAAGCACCACACACATTCATATTATAAAGTCCAGAGAACAAAGTTTCACCACATGCTTTGCTTGTCATCCTATGATTTGTCATACGTGAAATACAGCAGTACTGAAACTGACACCTTCGAGTAGGATTGGCTAAAAGTTTTACAACTGAAGTTTACCACACTCAGACACTGTTATATAAACAAAACAGACTAGAAAAATGTTTAAATACCAATCATAGATGGTAGGACCAGTGCTAAAGTGCAAGGAAAAAACTTTAAAAATGTTGAAAAAAAATTTTATTCTTAGAGGGCGCTTATTTAGAGTCTTAAACGTATTTTGAGATTTTGTTATTAAATTTCTCTTCAAACTTCATTAAATAATAAACTTTAGTACAATTAATTGAATGTTATGCTACTATTTACAAAAATAAAATCTGAAATCCAATGAAAGATAAGTTCTCTATCACTTTTTCAATTATTACCATTATGGCAGCCAAAAGCCATACTGACTATCCTGATGAGAAATAACTGTCCTAGTAATGCTATAAAATGGTACTTTTTTTTGTCCTCATCATTATAAAATGTAAACTTAAAGTTATATGTACAATTTTAAATTTTTTAGATAGCAAAAAACATTCTGATAAGTAGATGAAACAAAATTATTATTTATCAACTTTTGCTCTTTTGCTTTAAATTAGTATTCTACGAATGATACATTAAAATTGACAAACCATGTCTTTATCTTCTAATAACTGTAATTCATCATCTATATTTCTGTCTCTTATTTTCCCTTCAGGTGATGAACTCCTGGAAATGTGCAGTTCAAGAGAGGATATTTTTCCATTATGTTTTTCTTCCTTAATTTGTGTTCCACTAACTAAAATGGGTTGCTTTACTAAGTTGTTCTGACCAGTAAAATAATTAAGAGAAGACTCACTAAACTGATTATAGTCTACAGTTTGACTGTTTCTCAGGTGATTTTCCCTTTTAATTGAAGTCAAAGCATCATCCAAACAAACATTCCCAAACACATTTTGACATTTTTCTTTCCTTGAATAAATATTTTTTTCATCAGAAATAGTTGTTGAAGAATCAGTACTAGATGAAGCCTTGGATTCCAGTGTCATGTGAGAAGATCTTATATTTTTCAAGGTTTGGCGAGTTGAGAAAAGTGTTTTACTGGCAATGTCTGCCTGATTCATTTTTCTGTTGCCCGAATTACATCTTTTATCAATTCGTCTGTCGGTCTTGATCTGTTTTTTTTGTGGAATGGTGAAATCATTGTCAGATTTATTGCCATGAATTCTCAAGTCATTAGCAGATAAAGCCTTCCCTTTATTATTTTTCCTTTTTTCAAACATAGATTCTTTCTTATGCCCCCGAGACTGTCCAGAGTCTTTTTTTTCTGATGCATTAAGGCTAAAGTTCAATGCAGGCATAGAATGAGCAGTGGTTGGGCCTTTCCTGGGAGTACATACTTTATATACATGCTGATCTGCCTTTCTTTGCATGAGAATTGACTTTCTATGTTTTGACTCCTCTTTTCTTAAAAACTTTTGAGAATATCCAAAAGACTGCTTGTTTGGAGGGGTCACAACCATGACTTTAGCCATGCCTAAAGCTGTGGATTTAGATTCAGAGACTCCAGGACTCATTCTCTTAAGAGGAGAGTTCCGTGACCTGCCACGCCAACGATACACAGTTTCCCAACCACCAGAATCATCTAGTTTTAACAAAAGAAGCAAAATTTAATTTCAGCATAAAATTGATTTTAAAGTTGATTAGAGTTGCTGAGAAATATATCGGAGCCTACTTTAACACTCTTCACAAATATATTTTCCCCTACAAAATTAAGACATTAAACTGCTTTCCCATATTAGTTCAGATATATCAGAAACTTGCCTATATAATTTTTAAAATACTTAAATTTCCCAGTAATGATTTTTATGTTAGAAATATTTTCACAAAATAGGTACTAAGATTCCATTGTCTAAATACCACTTTGTAGAATAAAATTAAATATTGTTTCAAGACAAATTTTTTCATAGTGATCCAACATTACACTTAGTCAAACCTAATTTTTTATATTCTTGTTTATAATTTTGTTACTGAACTCAACTTGTGCAGTCCTTTGTTATGAAAGTGATTTGATTGATTAAACATAAAACATAGATGAATGAAATGGGTTTAGCAACAAAACAAATTATTACATAATAAAATAAACCTGACTATCCTACAATAACACAGAGTAAGTTATTAACCCATTCACCATCGCTGGATGTACATTTCCCAGTGCAATGGGAAACATACATCCCAGCCACAATGAAAGGATTAAAATAAACAATCTTCAAATGTGAATGCTATCCTCATGATTTAGTGATTCCATAATGTTACTGCTCTAAGAGAGTTAATTTTCACATGATATAATAAGCTGTAAAATTTTACTTTTTATCCCACATTAACAAAATGATATACCACAAGTAAAAATGGTTTCCACCAAATGTAAAAGAAATTTGTTTCAAAATTTTTAAGGTATAACTGAAAATGACTAATTTCAACATACTGCAACAAAAGCATCAAATAAGCTTTCAAGATCTAACAGTTCTATGCAACTTACCATCATCTCTGTCAGGTGTTGATACAAATGGTTCAATATTCATTTTAAGTTCTGAGCTAATCTCTTTATGTTCTGCAGGTAATGCTTTGGAATTTTCAGACAGTTCTGAAACTTTGGTTTTGTCATACTGTTCTTGTTTTAATCCCTTAAACTTATCAGACAGTTCTGAAGTTGACCTTCTGACCTTGTCAGCCCAGCTCTGACCACTAGATGAGCTGCTTAGGGATGATGATGATGAACCCATCTTCTGTCCACTTTCACACAATGAAGCTTCCACACTATCAACTGACTCAACCTTTCTTGGAAGATTTTGGGTCATAGTAATTGTTCCTGATGATTTAACAGCACTGCTACTAAAAGACTGTTTTGATACCACTGGTTGTGTAGATGTTGCAACTTGAAAATGCCTTAACTGTTTAGTAGCAGTATTTGATGACAGATTTTGTCTTTGTTTAGTCACACTAGCAGATATATTATTTTGATGTTTGATCATAGCTGTGGATGTCTGATGTTGTTTACTTATCAGCATGGTAGACTGACTTTTTTGAGGCTGGTCAGATACAGCTGTACACATTTTTTGTGATTGTTTAGAGAAAGTTGTAGAAGTCTTGCTTATTTGCAGTTGTTTAGCAAAGCTTGTAGAGACAAGACTGTACTGCATTTGCTTAGAAACTGGTGTAGATATACAGGTTTGATGTGGTTTAGAAACTGGAGTAGAAACACAGGTTTGATATAGTTGTTTAGAAACTGGTGAAGAAACACAGGTTTGATGTGGTTGTTTAGAAACTGGTGAAGAAACACAGGTGTGATGTGCTTGTTTAGAAACTGGTAAAGAAACACAGGTTTGATGTGCTTGTTTAGAAACTGGCGAAGAAACACAGGTTTGATGTGGTTGTTTAGAAACTGGTGAAGAAACACAGGTTTGATGTGGTTGTTTAGAAACTGGTGAAGAAACACAGGTTTGATGTGGTTGTTTAGAAACTGTTATGGGAGTGTGGGTATGATGTGGTTGCTTAACAGCTGTAGAGGCTGGGCTCTGATGCTGCTGTTGCTTAGAGACAGTCATGGACGTCTGAATTTGTTGTAATGGTTTAGAAACAGTTGTAACTGTATTTTGCTGTGGCTGTTTAGACAGTGTTCTTGAAACCTGATTATACGGTTGTTTAACTTTAGATACATGATCATGCACTTGTGTAGAAGTAGCTGTACTTTTTAGAGAATTCTGAGACTGTGTTAATAATGATTCATGCTGTTTCTTAGTTGATCCAGAAGCTTTAATAGTTACAGGACTTGAAGTTAGCTCTTGACTAACTTGGGTATCATGATTTTCTATAACAGGAAAACTTTCAGTTGAATCTGGCTGAATCTCTTTTGGTCCAGTAGATTCTAATGAGTATACTGATGTTTGTGTGCTATATAAACCTTCATTAGCACATGGTATCAAAGAAGGATCTTTCTCAACTTGTGTGCTTACTGTTACACTGGTCATGTTAGGAGTAAATGAACATTTTTCAATTTCTGAATGACTTTGTGAGATTTTACTTATAACAGGAGTACAGGAAATCTGATCTGGACTATTGAGTTTTGAATAGCAAGAAGTACTTGTCTGCACACATAATTCTTCAGATTTGTCTGATGACCAATCACAAAGCTCAGAAATGTGATTACTTTCAGGACGTTTCCCCTTATAGTGGATGTTATGAATTTTACATTTTTTATCCGTTCCTTGCATGTAACATTCTGGAGAACTTTCAACTTTACCAACAAATATCTCTAATGTTTTTGTCATGTCTCCTTCTTGAGAAGCAGATGGCATATCAAAATCCACTGAAATTGGTAATTCTGTTCCTTCATCATCGAGAGTCAAAAACTGGTCAGAACTAGAAAATGATATAATTTTGCTAATATGTTGATTTTGTATTAATGGATTTTCAGACATAACTATACCCTTATGACTTGGGAGTAAAGGCAAATCTTTTTCTCCTGTCAAAACTGACCTTAATGCTGGGCAACTGACTATTACTTTATTAACTTCAGTTGAAGTATATGAATCAGCTGTAACTGTACTGCCAACTAATGATGGTGTCAGAGTTGAATTAGCCAATATTTTATCGGATACCAAGGGAACAGCTGAATTGGATGGGAACATGATAGTTTCATCACCAATCACTGATGTCTTTATTGTTGGATCAGGTGTTATTCTTTGGCAACCTGCTGGCATTTTTACACATAAGCTTGCCGAGTCACCAGACATGTTATCACACAGAGTTTGGGTTGCCACAGATGTCACCTTCAACCTGAATAAGTAAACAAAAATATTGGATCAAAAGTGAAATAACTTTATACTACTTACTTATCATGTAAAACTTAACAAGACCAACTATTCCTATCACTCAAGTCTTGTAATTTATTACATCTATAAAATCTGGAGCTGAATACCAAAATTATTTGAGTGTGCAAGTTTCTCAAATTTCTTGCAAGTAAAAATACAAGGAATATCAGTGATTGCATACAGTGATTCATAAAATATGAAATATTTCAAAAAAAAGTTTAAAATATTTCAAAAACATTTCTTAAGTTTCATTTTAAATATCAGCATTAATATCATTAATATCAATGTTTGATATTTTTATATAATGCCCAATACAAAATTAGTAATTACCCATTCTATTTATTTTACTGTACAATTTTTTATGTATCATAAGCTGTATTAACATGTCGTTACTCTAGAATTTGTTAAGCTTTCTTAAATATCATTACTCCACAATTATTTAACCTTCACTCACATGTTATTACTGTCAAAATCAAAAGTTCTCTTTGTTGTTTTGTATGATGGTAGCAATTTATCAACACTGGCAGGCCACCATGCAGCTCTTCCTGGTGAGGATGTTTTGCGTACTTCCCATGCAAGAGACACAGGCCTATTATCACAAAATTAACATAGGAACATTTACAAAACAAGTTTTCTTTTGATTCATACATGAGTATACTAGAAAACAACAACAGTTGGTTACATCACTAAAAAACTGTCAAGTGCATTCACATTTTTTTTAGTCCCCTCACCAGCTTAGAAAAGGCATTCATGTCATAACAATTGTAGTTATATGACTTGTTTGTAAAACAAACATCTTTAATTAACTGTCAGGATAACAAAGCAAAGTATAAATGTTATAAACAGTGTAGGACAGGATGGAGAAGTCTATGTCAGTGATAAGTCACAGAATAAAACTTGGAACAGTAATATTGCAAAACTTAGAAGTTAGTACTAACAGAACCATATTGCCAAATGAAGTTTGTGCTACTAAAAACACTTTTAATTCGTCAATACCAAAGAACTGGACATCTATCCGTGGCCAAGGTATCCAAAAATTATCTACTTGTTCATTTCCTAGAGCTGTCAGAAAACAGACAGACATTAGGATGAAAACATATCAACCTAGAATTGAAGAACCATTTTCAACAGACTCACAAATTCCATTGTATGTTTCGCTAATTCATAATGTATATAAAACAACTGGTAAGTTACCTATTGTGAATATTTTTTATTTATCAGTAGAAGTTTCCTAATATGAAACCCAAGAAGTTAATAAAGTAGTAGTTGGTACTTCAGTTCACATTATTCAGGCATTAACTACTATTATGTCAAATCAAAATAGCAAAATTCACTACTGTAGTCCACAAATCTCAAATATTAACTACTACAAGATCAAATCACACTTACAAAATTAAGTATTATAGTTCATATAATACAATTATTAGGTACAACACACATCAAATCAAACTAACAAAATCCAGTACAAATAGCTCACATAATTCAAGTATTAACTACTACCATGTCAAATCAAACTAGAAAAACCCATTACTATAGCCCACAAAATTCATATATTAACTACTGTAAGATCAAATCAAAATAAAACTTGCCACTGTTGCTCACAAAATTCATGTATTAACCCCACTCATTTTGATGAACCTTGCATTAACCATGAAATTTAGTAAACTTCTAGAACACAATGCAAGTCTTTTGTACACAAAAAATCAGATTTTTTAAGAAAGTATTTTTACTGTCTGCCTCAAACTGTAACAAGTCTAAGTAAAAGGTGATTTTCCAGTAAGATTAAAAATACTTTTTTTCATCTTGCAGTTTTCAAATTTCATTTACAAAACCTCTAGAACCTCCTAAATGAACATCAAAATTTTGTTTTCAGTAAAATCTTAAATTTTATCTATTATTTTCTTTACCCTAAAACTATACAAGCTCAGTCCAGTTGACCAATGTTGTAACCACCAAAGAGAACTTTACATTAGGGTTGTTGTTACTGAATTTCCATTTATTTCAAATATACAATTCAAAACACAAAATAACAACACACTAGTCCTATAACTATTATAATTTACCTGGCTTTCTAAGTATGCTATGAGTGCATTAGAATAATTCCCTTATCTGGTTGAGCAGAACTCGGTGATTGCAACTTTGAGTCTGTATGCCAAATAATTCAAAAGCTGTTGTAAGAATGAGCCAGCATTATAATCAGTAATTTAAAAAAATTCAGTATTTTTTATAAATAATGTAATATAAAATGTCATAAAGAATTAATAACATTTTTTTTAAAGATAGTATGTGATAGGAGGGCATGGCATGTGAATTTGACTTTCAGCTTTATATTTCTATAAATCAAGATGATTGGAAGCTATAAAATTAGGTTTTGTTTCAGCAATATCTATACTACAACTTTGTATTAAGACTCATAAGCTGAAATATAGGTGGAATGAATGTTTAATTGGGCTTTTTGGAGGGAACAAGTGTCATGTGATACACAGAAGTGAATACTGAGAATATATTTAAATATTTGTTTTAGAAAGAAAGAAATTAAAACTTATATAATATTTAAATTTAGTTTATTAACTCTTTAAATACAGGCATCCTTTCCTGAACATGTCACAAGGTTTTACCGAGTTACATTCAAAATTTAATTAACTCTCTCAACATGGGCTCGGTCAGTTTGATAGGGTTAAAGTACTTTATTATCATGGTGACCTCTTTGTACTCGATCAAGTCTTTATAGATTTAATAGTTCTAGCTTTCAATATAGTGTGTATATCTTCACAAAATTTGGCAGTCTTTCAGTTCATATTATGTCTTTCATATACAAAAAAAAATCATATTTTTAGTGAAGTATTTTCAATAAACTAAATTAAAGATTTGTCCATGAATATATTGAGTATTTGTTTTGAATAGTCCTCGTGCAAAGTAATTTTCATGTTAAAATTGAAAATACTTTTCCTCATCTCAAATTTCCTTTGTGTAATCCCTAAAACCTCCTAAATGAATTTCAAATGTTGTTTTTTTTCACTAAAACTTTATAGTTTATCTGTTATTTTTTCTACCCTATCTCAAAACGGGATCAGTCAATTCAACCAACCTCATAACCAACAACAACAAAAAAAAAATGAAATAGAGTAATGTGAGCTACGTATTCACCAAGTGATTTACAACTTATATGGCACAAATATTAGTTAGACACGGTTCAAGGAACAGTAAAACAATAATATTTACGTATAAACAGATATATACTGTTACTAGTTTAAAGCTATTTTTATGAAAAACAAATGTTGTTTCATATTATAGTTTAAAGTCATTCTAGAAAGACAAAAAAGAGCAATTTAGATTTTGAATTTTTTGTTGGTGGATATGAGGCCAAATTATCTGACCTCGTATAGAGTTACCATAAAAAAAATAACAGATATAATTAAACGTGTTATTAAAAAAAAACGTTTGAAATTTATTTAGGAGGTTTTAGAGATTATGCACATGAAATATGACAACTTTCAGATGAAGAAAAGTATTTTTAATCATAATATAAAAATCATTTTGCACTCACAGTAGTCAACATTTTGAATCCATATATTCATCGAGAAATTTTTTAATGAAAACACTTGATTAAAAATTCTAACTTTTTGTCTACAAAAGACTCTAAATGCTTACTGAAAGATACACAAAATATATATAAGTTATAGTGTGAAAGCTATAAAGATAAATTCTGGGACATGAACTTGGTTAATTCAGTCAAGCCTGTAGCGAGAGGGTTAACTGCATTTTGCTGATAAGTTTATTGACATACACTGATAATAAAGTAGTTTAATTAAAGTTTGAATGTAACTGAGTAAAAAGGTTGTGACGTGCACTTTTAACTTCTTGTGTTCAGAGAGTTAACTACTACCAAATCATATCAAACTAGCAAAACCCTATAATATAGCTCACAAGATATAGGCATCAATAATTGTAATGTAACAAACACATATACCAAAATCCTTTAGAGTGGAGCTTAGTTTGGTATCTAACTCAAGAATGAAACAATACTGAGTGGATTGGCAATTTTGTAAAAATGTCAAAAAATCTAAAGTTATAATTTTCCTATACTGAAAATGTATTTCCAATAGGTACTTTCCTCTTCTCCCAAGATTAGCTATTCTCATTTATTGCTGCCCTCTATATGCAAACTTTTTATTGTGCATGCCACAAGTCTTCTGCACCCTCCTATTGGAATAAAATGATTCCAACATGTCTCTAACACATCATGTGTCACGTATCCACCAATAAGATCATAGTACACTCACGTGATGCATGTGAATCCATCAATGTGCCTCTACCGAACTATCACTTCCAAGTCTGGCAGATGATGGAAGCACCAGAAATTAGTGGGGAGGAAGAGTGAGAATAGGGAAATACCTATCAGAAATAGATTTTCAGTATAGGAAAATTATGACTTCTGATAAGGTACTTCCCTCCACTCAAGATTAGCTAGAATCCCATATTGATTAGAAAGAGGGACTGGTGCGAGGGAAGAACAGACGTTCCAAAAGATACCCCTGCAGATGAGTCAGATCCAAAGATCAGAAGAGGGGAACTGCAACACTTCTGATCCAGGCATACTCTTCGTCTAGTCGAGGAATGTGTAAAATTCAGGGCAGAAAATGAGAGGAGCATATCCTAGTGGGAGAGAAAGTGGAAGGAAAGTGATCTTAATCAGAGAAAGATATAGTAACTCAATCCCACAATAAGAAAGTGGGTAAATGAGGATGCATCCCATGGTGTAGAGTGGCTAGGGCATGGTGGACCGTAACTCAGCAAGTTAACTAGATCCACAACCTACTCACGGGATACCGACATCCACATAGGGTAGGGTGAGGATCATACCATCTTCACCTCAAATCCAAGAACCAGGGAATTCAGAACTACTCCGATTCCTGGGTATTAAACAGGATGAGCTCTGAGCTATCTATCCGGGAATGTGACATCTGGTATTGAAAGGAAGTCTATCACATGTAATCAACTCTCGTGACTGTGAAACAGGTTAAGACCATACAAAGAGCAATAACATCAATGTTAGAAGAGAGAACAAGGGAGAGCCAAGGATAGAACTGAAAGAGTCCCACGTATCTCAACAGTGACCCACAACATAGAAGGAATCGAAAAATGAAAATAGACAACTTGAAACATGTGTGAGGGCTAATGTTGATTGGTTCACTCGAAAACCAAAACCAGCCAATAGGGTACTGACATCCATGTGAGGCAGAAAGATGGCTCTCAATCGAAGGGGTGAACTGCATTTTGATGTCTCACTCTGTTGTATGTTTAATCACAAATCGGAGAATATTACATCATCTATCCCAGCAAAACACTACCACCCTACTCTGAACTGATTGGTTATAGCCATATTAAGTGGAACCCATCCAGCAGGGTGCCTCCATGGTCCAAAATCCCAGTGGCTTGAAACTGGAAAGTAGTAAGAACTCTCACACTCCACTAAAAGAAAAGGGTGGAAAACGTGATGGAGAGTCCGGAGGAACAACAACACCCAAAACAGTGCAATGAGTGACCATGAAACCTATTTTGAAAATCAGACCATACCAATTTATTCAA